TGCCATACCTGATTGTTCTATCAAATAATGAGAAAGATCTTGGTTTGTTTGTCTCTTTGGGGGTTTCTTATTTGCTCTTTTCTTTAAAAATGATAAATCATAATTGATTTTGTTTTATTTCATTTTCACTATCCATTTCTTTGTCAGTATCATTGATTCTGATGGTTCTTTTCCTTGTGTTTATAGAATTATCTTGGATAGGGTTATTGTTAAGATTTTCTCTTTCTTTTAGATCTCTCTGACCATCCTGTTTATTTGCTACCTGGTTGTCCCAGCTTTGTTTGGGTGGGTGCTGATGTTGCTTCTCTTCGGCAGGGTTGTTTTTTGTTGGTTGTGTGATTATTGAAACTTGTTATTGTATTTGTGAATTATTGGTCTCTGTACGGTTTTAAGTTATTGAAGTTTGAAGTTGTTTGATTTGGATAATGTTGAATTTCTTTGCGTACAGTTGTGTTCTAACTGGAACTATTTTTTTTCCTGTTCTTTTTTCATATCTGATAGTTCTGCTTGTTGATTTGTTAAGAACTTTACTACTTCTAGTGTTGTTTAACATCTTTCTTCCGTTTGGGTTGGTTGCTGCACCACATATAAATATGAAAGAGTTTTTGTATGTTAAATATATTTATAATATATATATATAATTTTTTTTAATATATATATTTTTTGAAATAGTTTTGTTTTAATAGAATTAATATATATAATATATCAATATATAAAAAAAGTTATTGTTTTTTTAAATTAAAATATTATTGTTAATAATTAAAAATATTTATAATTTAATTTTGAAAAAAGTAAGCTGGATTTTATTTTTTAATTACTTATATATATATTAAATTTTTTTATTTTTGTTAAATTAATAAAAAGTTTTAATATCTTTTTAATCTTAAAATAATAATAAAGTTATTTAATTTATTATAAAATTTGTTTTTTAAAAATTTTTAAAATATAGAAAAAATATATTAATTTAATTATAAAAGTAATAATAAATATTGACTAGAGTTTTGAAAAGTATCGTACTGATACCAAAGTGATATTGAAATGGTACTAATCTATAGTAAATTTAATATATGGGTTATAATCCACTCATATGAATTTATAGTAAATTTAAGTATCAAACTGATATCAAATAGATATCAAAATGGTACTGTTAAGAGCCTTAATTGATATTTAATTTTTAATTTTAAAATTAATTGATTTGGTTTATATTTTTTTTTAATAGAAAAACTATTTATTTTTTGGTTTTTTTTATAAAATAAAAAAAAAAACAAAAATTTAATATTATTGAACCATATACGCCTTTATAATATAAAATGTTTTTTTATATTGATAAGTAACAAAAGTAATATATACTGTATATTTTAAAATTTTATTTCATATTAAATATTTTGAAATAATAATAATATTTTTTACGAATATACAGTTTGACTATATTAATTTTTTTTTAAAGTAAATTAATAATTATCATTTTTTGAGCTAACATTTTATAAATGTTAAATTTATAAATATTATTTTCTAATTCTTAAAAAAAATTTTCAGATAGTAAAATATAGTTGAATAAATTATATATATATATATATAAAGAAAACATTACGTAAATTAAATTAAATGATATACATTCATATACTGCATATAATTAATTATATTAAGGATATTTGATAGGCTTTGAGCTTAATCGGTCGCGTATTAAATTTAATTTTATCATTAAATCAATCGAATCAAAACTTTCTTTTTATAAAAATCTTTATGCAATCTTTATGTCCAAATATACTATATATACTGCACATCTTTTTAAAATTGATTAACGTCACCAGAACAAATAAAGTTTAGGAGCCACATACAGTATGTGCAAATCAATCGAAGCACAGTGTTGTTACACAAATTAACAAATATTTGGACGTTGTATAGTAGCCATCAAAACATTAAATCCAAAACTTTTAGTTGCGTATTTTAAATTGTGCGTATCTGTTGTTAATAAAGATGACACCGCCACTACCAATAGAATGCATCGAGGATATTATATCCAACATTGTAGAGGATAAAGATACATTGTATTCATTTCTTCTTGTTAGCCGATACTGGTGTAAACATGTGGCACCGATACTCTGGAAACGACCATTCTCCCTGCTGGGTCGACCTTCCGCCCTACTGATACGCACCTACATTATGTGTCTTTCCCAGGAATCAAAGCACCTTTTGAGTTCCCACAAAATCGATCTGAATTTTGCGAATAAATGTGGAGTTCCATATTTCGACTATGCGACTTTTCTTCGTGTTCTCGATTATAGAGGTCTCTGTTATTCGATTTTCCAATGGTTAAGTCTTCATCAGGATTATCGCTTCGACAAGCTGGTATTTTTGTTCGCACGGGAGTTGTGTAAATTGTTCATGAGTCGATGTTCAAACTTCGATGGCCTCTATATGGATACTCGGGGGATGGACACGTGGGAACTTCAGATGGACTACCTGTTGATACCTTGTCTTCCCGGTGCCGAAATGTGTCTGGCAAAACTAGAGCATTTCACCTGCGGTGGAAATTATAACGGTAGTGGGATGCTATGCGCATTATCTAAAGTATGCAAAAATATCAGGAGATTGGATATTTATAATTCCAACAATTTCGAACCGATGGGAGGGTAAGTTGCCTCTGTTATCACGAAAAAAAAAGGAATACTTTAACAGCCAAACCACTAACATCTTCCCTAAGCATATGAGATCTGAAATATATCCATGAAACTTTGTAGATACCTTGCGATGTTAGTAGAAGCTCAAAAAGGTCTGGAACGCTTCACTCTAATCGGATATTATTGTCTAATTTCCGATGTAGTACTTGCGCTAAACACACAATCCCGATCGTTGACTTACGTCGAACTAACAATAAACGATTTTTTCGAGGACGATCTATCACTCAGCTCACTGGCAAACTGTAAGAACTTGGAAACTCTGATATTTGATGATTGTGTTAATCTCACCACACAAAAAATGCTGCCACT